GTTGGTCTGACATTAAAGTGGTTGTTCTATTAATTGGCAATATGCTGATAAGTATTTCCATGTGTCCACAGAAAAATCATGAAAGGTAATGTTGGTGATCTTAGGCCTTTCTTAATAGGCTTTATGAGATCACAAATGCCTTTAAACTCATTAGTGGTGGGTGTAATTAGCTGCCACATGAGCTAATGCTGGACATTGCCCTCTGAGTCTTAAAAACCTGATAACAGACTAATTAGGACAATCTAATCTTTAGTCCTGCCAGATCCCTTCCCACACTTCTCAGCTGCAGGAAGAATGGACATTTCAGTCATTTCTATTTCTGACATCACAGCTCGCATAGCTGAGAACTGGGCATGTGCGGGGTGCCTGTGGGCTGTGCAGTGCACACACAGCTGTGCTGGAAGGAAGTGCTTGCAATCCGTGCACTCAGCGCTATGGAAATGAACTTGGCGCACACCCATGAGCATGGATAAATGCCTAACTGCCTTTCTAATCACAAAGCAGTTTTCTATCTTTGGCACTTAGATGTTGTGTAAAATAGACCGAATTCAATGCCAGATGACTGCTAGACCGGCTTCATTTGAGCTTTAGCAAAAGTCTTGAGAAGCCCCAGCTATATTTCATTCATCTCATATGCAAGATGACCTTTCAGTCTGATTCATGCAGGATGGGACATTAGCCCAGGCATGTTGGGCTCCGTCAGCAGAGTTAGCCATTGCAGGACCTTGATCTCTATGGTGGCCCAAATCTGTCCTGTAATGTCCCAGGTATTTATTTTACTCAAGGTGTGTGCCCCACCTTCAAATCACATGGTATGTGGAGGGCATCAGGTGCCGCTCCCCACAGTCCCTTTAGCCTGGAACACTGGCATCTCAGCATAATCAATTTCCTGGAGTCTGTTTTCTCCTTCCATCATGTGGGCTTCCGGGGCTTGAACTCAGGTTTTCAGCCTAGATAGTAACTACCTTCATCCACAGAACCATCTGCCCAGGCCACATCTGGTCGCCCCCCCCCCAACCCCCACACTTTTTCCTGCTCTGGAAAGCAATTCACTTGAATACCACACCTTGTGGGCATTCAGGGCCCTTCCCATACACTGCTGTTCTCAGACTTGTTCAGCTGATATTTACAGATGACACAGATGATCATGAGCAAGGCTATAGTAAGACAAGGAATCCCCACTGAAGCTGGGCAAGCAGGCAGTGTAAGTCGGCTTTGGGTTATTACTGCCTGTCTTCAGATGAGTGGGGAGACTTTCTTCAGGGATGTGGAGGTTTGGGGAGAAGTAAAAAAAAAAAAAAAAAAAAATCCCCAGATAGTCAGTTCCTTCCAGACATGAAGGAGTAAATCGGTAAAGGGTCATAGCATTAAATGAATGTGCTGGTTTCTTATATATTTGATAGATCTGTGAGATCGGAAACTTAGGAGCTCTGAGCTGGCCCGATGCTTCTTAACTCCTCCAGTTGTCTCAAGAGGTGGGCCAGTTCCAGGATTTACCCAACACCACCCTCTTACCCCTTAGGATTTATTCCTTGTTCATCGTCAGAATTTACTCGTGTAAAATATAGGGAAAAACCATTTTAAAATGATAGCAGAATAATTAAAAACAAAACAAAAAAACCATAGGCTGTGCCATGGGTACCACTTGGCAGCTTTACTACATCAGGAAATCCAATTCTCTTCCTCATTTTCTACATTCAAAAACTAAGAACCCTAGTAAATGACATCTTGAAGGGTTATACAAGGGTTAAGCATGATAATCTAAGTGTGTGCCAGCTCACTGTATGTAGACTACGACAGTAGCCACTAAAACAGTTTCTCTGACTCTCTCGTTGCATTTATTAATATCTGCTATGGAAAAAGGCTGTGCTGGAGCTGTACAGAAGTTGAAGAAGATGATCTCTATGGTAGTTTGGGAAGAAAACACCAAAGCACTGGGCTCAGATGAAAAAAGCAACAACTTATGAGTTAAGTGAGTGGTACATTTTCTGGTAATGCACAGTGAGCAGTCTACCATTGTGCTACCACTGAGCTGAGCTACACCCCAGCCCTTTCTGGTCAAGTGACATCAAGCAGGTCCTTACAACCTTGTCATTGTGCAAGGCTGAGGAGTCAGGAAGTTTCTCATTGTCACCTGAAGCCAAGACTTCTTCCCAACACTATTAACAAATGCCCCAGGAATTCCAGCCTCCAGGGAGCAGCCTCAGGCCACTGAGAACCTCAGAGCTAGGGGTGGCTTCTTAGGTGTCACTGTCGCTCAGTAGTGGCTTGGGAAGAAGCAAGCATGTGAATGAATATAGAACCCAGGGAAGGCTTCTGAGCCTCCTCCCTGAGCCAAGGAGAGCCTGCCCTTTCTTCACAGAGCAAATCTGCCTTTGCCAGCCTGCCAACACTCTCAAACCTAGGAGGAAGATGAGGGGAAAAGATGGTGTTTATCGGGGGGAAATTACAAACCCTTCCTGGCTCACTGACCTGAGGGATGAGGGAGCCTACTCTACCCCCTGCCCTCCATGATGGCTGGTTGGGAAGAGTAAACCATAGTTCTAGAATTTTGGAGCACTTCAGTTCTAACCTAAGTCAGTAAAACCATTTTTGAAATTCAATCCTTTCCCATTCAGCAGCAGGTAAGACCATTTCTACCCCCAATCCCCACCCCCCGAGTCTGCCAAGAATGAAATAATGGCTGATCCCTCTTGGCATTTACACTGAGCACAACTGAAGGGACAAAGCAGATGTGCCCTTAGGTTCGTTCTGCAGTAGTGTTCTGCAGGTAGCCTTCTGCTGGGAGGCTGGAGGCAAACTATTCCAAAAGGCTGATCCACTGGCGTGCCTTCCGGAGGACTGAGATCTTGGATTTTCATGTAATGATACCACACACACCCATCATATGGAGCTGTCCTATCTAACTTGAAAACAGTCATTTGGCCCAGGGACACCCTGCTTAAGTTTGTTCCATACTGTAGTCTTCCAGGAACATGAGTCCGGAGCTTTGTTCCAAGACTGAAGTTAGTTGTCAGGTGCCCGCTGTTCACAAGACAGCACACCAGACCCTTTGTGCACTCAAGGGACCCCTGCCCTTTAGGGATAACGAAGCCTCAAACATGTTACCATGAGCAAAGGGGAGTCACCGGCAAGGATGGCAGAAGGCTGGTGTGATGGAGTTTTGGGGATGAGGGCATACTTTTCTCTGGAGGAAGGGCACAAAACCTGAAAAGTGTTTTCCCAAGCCAAAGGGAATGAGAGCAGGATGGTTTGGTGTTTTGTGTGAAAGGCTGTGTGCTGCTCATCACTAAATAGACGTTCTCCAGTTATTGTCCATCGTGACTGAATGACTGGACAGCTAACGGTGGTCAAAATGAGATCTCATTCAGTACCAAAAAGTTACTCTACATTAAACACTGAATTCCTTCCCCTGCTTTTCCCATTGAAGAAATCCCTTTGACAACTCCAGATTCTGAGATACCTACAATGGTTATTTTAAAAGTTGGGATGCACCTTCATTTCCAGTCACAGTGAAAGGACTCGGATAAAAGGCAGACTACCAGAGTTCAGCTGCTAATGTAGGGAGGATCCTGTTGCTAGAGACAATGTGCTGAGCTCTGGGAGTCATGAAAACGAGCCCTGCAGGACCTCTGCCTGCCCTGCTCCCTGGGGCTGGTCCAGACTCACTGTCTAACTCCTGTGGCCTCTGCCTATACCATCTGCCCAAGGGTTGGAACTTTGTTTCCAAGCAGGGTGTCTACAGGAAATCTTAGTAAGAGTCATGTGTATGCAAAGCTATATTACCCAATGTGGGAAGTGTTTTATAAGTAATGTCTGGTGTGTGTATTCAGACTCTTCAAGTTGTTTTCCAGCTTGTGTGTATTCTGTGTATAATTAATTAATTATAATTAATCATCATCTATCCAATTTACAGGGATATTACCAGTTTGGGGGTTATCTTGTGTAGATTTAGCAATGATTTAAGTACTTTAAAACATTTTCAGAATTTTTAGTGTTTTCCTCTTTATTTCTTTTGAGATTCGTTTTCAGTCCATAACCTCAATAGCCAATGATGGAGGATCAATTAAAGCAGACATTTGTGCCTCATCAAACTGAGAAGAGCCCAGGCCAAAAGTACAAGGATTTTGTTGCTGTTTGTGTCGGTCCTTTTTTTATTATTATTATTTTTTAATTTCTTGCTGTATGATGTAGACCACCTCAGCCTCTCAAGTTCTGGGATTGTAGCACATCTTAAACAGAAATCTCTTGGATGGGGGTGGGTAAGAATTTTCTGGAGGAAAGCGTGAACATACTTGTGACCAAACTATCTATCTGATGTTTCTACATTTCTGCTCCTTAAACCCCTAGAATCTGAAGACAGTTATCCACTGAATGTGTCAGTGTGAGTGTGTGTCATATGTGGTACCCATGGAGGCCAGAGGAGAGGTCACGTCTCCGGGAGCTAGAGATGCAGGCAATTGTGAGCTGCCGATGTGGGTGCTGGGAACTGAACTCAGGTCCTCTGGCAGAGCGGCAAGTGCTCTTAAGTGCCGAGCCATCTCTCTAGCCCCACTTTTCAGCCATTCCTTAGGTGGCCCCCTAACATATGACGCGTGCAGAGACACATACAATTCCATCCTGCCTCTGTAGCTTTCGACTAAAATCAGTCTGATGACTGCTGACCAAACAGTCACCGCATGATGATATCAAGGTGAACAAAAATAGAATTTATAGTAAGAACTTCCCCTTCGGTTGCCCTGTCAAGGTTCAAAGACTGAAAAAAAAAAGAAAAGAAACAGTCCTTCAAACAAACAAAAACCAGAGCTTAAAAAATTGATGCCACTAAACTACAGCATTGAATCTATAAAGTCCAAGGAATGTATGGGAATTAAATTTAAATTTCTTCCTATGAAGCCCAGCCAGGCTCTCCGGCTTGGATGGCTTTCCAGTGGCTTGCTGCTTCATGTTACTGTCTCGCAAAGGAGTGACATTTAGCCTGTACTCTTTCATTGGAACAGGACAGCTGGGAAGTGGTAGAAGGACTGAGGGGAGAGATGACTTACACCCAGGAGCCGCCCGTGCAGAAAGGATTTTTGCTGAAAAAGAGGAAGTGGCCCTTAAAAGGCTGGCACAAGGTAAGACATCAGTGTTGGCTGCTCCTTTGTAGCTAGCACTCTGTCCCACTCAGAACCAAGTTCTGAGAGCTTGTTTCCTGTTTGAAGTTGGAGACTAGGCTGGATGTTAGCATGTACATCTTGCTAAATTCTGTTTGCTTCCCACAGAGATTCTTCTACCTGGACAAAGGAATCTTGAAATATGCCAAGAGCCAAACTGATGTGAGTCTTCTTCCTGGTCCAGTATGCTATTGCAGAAGTGTGCAGGGTGCTTGAGGTCAGCCCAGAGCCACAGTGCCCTGTGGGTAATAGTTATTTCAGGTGACACAGAGCTTCCTCTCCACATACCCTGACCCCTGCTCTCTTAGCTCCGGATCTGGGTGGGGTCCATTTGCTACCAGGAAAAGGTGCAGGGCAGCATAGTGGTTACCATAGGCCTGCTCTGGTTTTAGCTAATTACAGGAACAGAGCATGTGACATGTATCCTTATCATTCTTAATGGTTGATTGGGGGGGGGTGCTTGATGGAGAAAGCGATGGATAAGGTGGACTTTCTCTTGGAGTTGACCCTAGGAGGTTGTCCTGGAAGGTTCTGAGTGCCCAGCAGGCCTGTCTCTAGGGCACTTGTCTCCTCTTTCCCTGGCCTTCTAGTCCTCCTTTGTCTCTTGTCTGTACCCTTCCTCTTAAGTCACTTATGAATGAACTTAGACGACAGACACTAAGCCAGAAGGAGATAATTGCCTTGGCGTCATCTCATGAGGTTTTTCTCTCACGTCCATGCATCCTGACTATGAAAACTCATTATTTAGCTTCTGCCTTCAGCCTCCTCTTCAGTGAAAGGAGGCGAGTGCTTCACCCTTGCGGAGAAAGAATACCGCACGTGTGCCTATCCCAACTGGGTCTGCTTGCGTGGAGGGCTCCTTCAATCCTGGTGTTCGGGTTTACCATTGGTGGATGTCAAGATGAGGTGGTAGGGGCCGGGCAGGATGTTACAGCCGCCTTGACTACTGTGCCTCTCAAGTAGCCCTTCCCACACTCCTGTAGATTGAGAGAGAGAAGCTGCATGGCTGCATTGACGTGGGGCTTTCGGTGATGTCTGTGAAGAAGTCATCCAAGTGCATTGACCTTGACACCGAGGAGCACATCTACCACCTGAAGGTGAGGCTCAGCCAGGGCTGGCTTGCAGCTGCCGAAAGGGCTTTTGTTGCAAGTGGAGTTGTCTGAAGCAGAGTCTTGCTCTCTGTCCACTCTCGCTTCAAACTCCTGGGCTCCAATAGTCTCCAGCTTCAGCTTCCTGGATAGCCAAGGACGCAGCTCTCCCTTGGATGTGTAGAGGACTTTCTACTGCTATGGGATTGTCCACTACCATACTGCTGGTGATGACTTCGGGACATCTTGTGGGCAGTCTTTATCGCTAAAGTATTCCCAAGAGATACTGTTGATGTTAGGATGGGCCGGGTTTTTCTTGGTTGTGCAGGACTGTCTCTCACACTGCTTGAAGAGTTAACATCCTTGTCACCATTCCCCACATGTTACCACTCCTCCCCAGAAACAGCAATCAATAGCAAAAGCACCTTCATGAGCTCCTTTCCCCTAGGCTGTGTCTTTAGTATTTATAGAACCATTTACCCTAGATTAAAATACATTCTCTGAAGTATAATATTTACTGTGTGGAGCCCTGACTTACGACTTTAGCCAGTTTTATAAACACTTTGTTGAAATCCTCATATTGTAGTGAAATGTCAATTCTTTTTCTCCCAAATTGGGAGTTTACAAATCTTAGTCTGAAAACTTCTTACCCACTTGTGTTTCTCCTGAAGGTGGGTGACGTCATAAAAAGCATGACGCTTGAGCTCCAAGGCAACATCGGCTTGTATGTGATTGCTTGCTAGCCATTAAACTTTGACCAGCCATTAAATTCTTGAAAAATATTAGGTTCTTTGTTTGTTTATTTTTGTTTTGTTAAATTACCAAATAAAATAAAATAAAATAAAAGGTTAGTCCTGTGCTCATTGGCAGGGCTTTATGCATAAGGTCTCTAAGGTTTACCCTAATTCCCTGGGGGACAGTAGGGTTAGTAAGCTTAATTACTGTTGATAATGATTAAGCAATGCCTGAATGTTGGAAATAAATTGAGAATTGCTTAGGCTGGTTGCTCAGTGTTTAGGGAATGGGGCCTAAGGTTGGGAAAACCAAGGTTCTCACCTGTCCCTGTCTCATATCTGTCCCCTACCCTAACTCTGCATTCTACGCTAGTTCAGTGTGTACGGCAGTTCCACTGACACTGTGGGCTGATGATTCTTTGTTGTGGGACTGTCCCGATGGTATGGTTAAGCCTTTACCACTGGACGCCAGTGGCTTCTCTTCTCTAGTGGTTACAGTCCACACTGTCTCCAAGTATTTCCAAGTGTCTCCTGAAAGAGAAAATATCCCAGGTGAAGTAACTATGGCAAAGTAAATGGGGGGGACCCTCTAATATTAAATATTTAAGAGAATATACTACTCCCCTGCCTGCTGTCAGTGGTTAACCTCTTCTGCAGGAGTTGGCGTTGTTTTCCTGTAGTCCTGTGACTCTTCTTTCTGTGTTTTCGCAATGCTTGCTCATCTGAAATTCTAGTTAGCAGAAAGAAGTGTCTACTTTTTAAAGACTTAGAGTAGGATGTGTTTTACTTGATACCATGAGACAGAATGGCTCTCTGCAAGTTTTCCCTGGTTTCTCGTTCATTCCTGAGCATCAGCTCTGATTTATAGTGTAGGCCTGTTGTTAGCTGTGGTTTTCCTACCCCCTCTTTATCCTTAATCTCCCCCACCCCCTACCCGCCACAAGATCTGAGTGTATAGCCCAGGCTGGCCTTGAACTCACAAACCTCTTGAGTGCTGAGATTAAAGGCATTCACCACCACACCTGGCTTGATTCTCTCTCTCATTTTATACCTGAGAAGTCTGGGCAGAAGAGCAGTTAAGAAACCACCCAGCCACAGTCCTGTAATTACTGTGGGGCCTGTGGTAGAACTGTGGTTAGTTATTTAATAAAGTGCCTTGTTCCTCTCCTTGTCTAACCAATAAAAGATGAGTCAAGATGAACGCTTCCAGCATTGGCTTTTCAGGGCTTTGGGGAGTAGATCAGTGCAAGGATCACACAGGAGTCTTACAAAGTTCCTATTAACTACATCTGGGGAATGCAATCCTTTCATAACACAGAGGAGACAAATTGATGTGTTTCTGTTTGTGCTGTGGCTTCCTGCAGGCAGGCGCTAAGGAGGAGCCTCCAGCTTTGTGTACCTCTGGTAAACATAGATTCAGGTTCACTGTGTCTCTGCTGCTGCTGAGGCTGTCCATCTGCACACTTTCCTTCCCAGCCCCAGTCTCAGGCAGGATTTTCCCAGCACTGGCCTGGCAGGCCATTGACCCACCAGACATCTTTTTGAGTTATTTTAAATTACAGCCTTATGAGTCTATATCCTCCTTTTACCTCGCTTTTCACTTTGAAGTTATGAATATCTTTTATACACATAATACACCCATGCTCAATAACTTGGAAATGTTTTAAGAGACAAATGTGAGGTTTTGTTTATCTGTTGTTTAATAAAACTGGCCCTTGCCAGGCGGTGGTGGCACACACCTTTAATCCCAGCATTTGGGAGGCAGAGGCAGGCTAATCTCTGAGCGAGTTCCAGGCCAGCCTCCAAAGCCACAGAGAAACCCTATCAAAAGGGAAGAAAAAAAAATTGGCCCTCTTTGCATTCTTAAAAGTTGCATGGCAGTTAGAACATCTCAAAGAAAACACAAATATGTGTTCTGTGAAGGTACCTCTTCCTCAAGCATTCTCCGAAACCACATAAATGCAAACCAAGGCAGTAAATTCGATTTCTTCTTTTTCATGTGTGCCTTCTCAAAAAGAGCAGGTCAGAAGTGGCCTCATTGTGATGAATAATTGAACCTTTTAGGAAGGAGCTCTCTTTGACATCTCTCAACTTAACCTGTAGGTGAAGTCCGACGAACTCTTTGATGAGTGGGTATCCAAGCTCCGACACCACAGAATGTACCGGCAGAATGAGATCGCCATGTTTCCTCGTGATGTCAGTCACTTTTTCTCGGGGCCCACTGTTACAGATTCTGCCCCAGGAGTGTTCGATTCCATTTCCAGTAGGAAGGTAATGATTGGGCTGCCAGGAAGGAGTCTGAGGGAACAGAGAGGCCCATTCTGGGAGTGAGTCTGAGGGAAGTTTTGTGGATGGAGCAGGGTAAGCTGGGTGATATTTAATTAGTCTCTTGACCAGTGAGTCTGACCCAGGATATAACTAGCATGAATTAAGGTGGGGAGCTCAGGTAAGGAGATTCCTAAGGCTTGGGCTTTCTCCCAGCCACACTGACTTTGGTTTTCCCACCTGCCTATTGGATGCAACTAATTAAGCACCGGTACAGCACACAGGATTGCAGACTCTTTCCCAACATATCTTTACTGTGGTACCACCATTTCATAGGAGAAAATGAGGACTGTCACCCAAGGCCATGGAACATGGTGGAGTTTAGCTGGGTGGCAGGTGGAGGTATCAGAGTCTCTTCTAGGGGTCTTTGCTAGAAGGTTCTTCCCAAATCACCCTGCTATCCTTTCCCTTAGAAGCTGTCCCTGCCACACTCTGTTTTGATTTCTAACCTGCTCTTGTCATCCATGAGCAGCGTAGCAGTCTGTCAAAGCAGAATTCATTTCAAACTGGAAGCAATTTGTCATTTTCTTGCGCTGGTGACACACGAGTTCCATTCTGGCTACAGTCTTCAGAGGACATGGAAAAATGCTCAAAAGGTAGAGCAGTTTGAGTCTTCTCTGTCTGTCATGGCTCTGAGGTGATGCGTGCTTGGTGTTGCCTTCTCGTGTGTTTGTGTCCCTGCAGTCACTCATCTGTATTCCATCCCCACTTTGCTAAGGAAGGTCTCATCATCATTAGCCAACATGCTCTCCCCACAGAGCTTAGTTTCCTCACCTGGATGCAAACAGACTTCCTAGTCTAGTACCAAGATGGATGCATGAATTCCTCCTGGAGCCATAAGTCATATCTCCATGGGTGGGGACCATCAACTCACTCACAATCTTTAAATTCCAAAAATGACTCTGCTGCCCACCCGAGGTGAAGAGCCAGTGTCCACTGATTAAGTGTAAGTGGCCAGGTGGAAAGCCCAGTTGAGCATTCTCCACCGTGGCTGTACACTAGAATCATGGAGAGAGTTTTTAAAGGTTTTATTTTATTTTTAATGATGTATATTTGTGTTGGGGGGAGGAGTATGTGCATGCAAGTGCAGGTGCCCACAGAAGCCAGAAGAGAGAGAGCATCAGGTCTCCTGGAACTGGAGTTAAAGTTATTTGTGAGCTGCTCAATGTGGTTAAGTCCTGTCCCTTGACAGAAGAGAATACCCTCTTAACATAACTGTTGAGCCATCTGGACCCTTTAAAGTGTGGGTGTGCCCATGCCTATGCCTCTGTCTCAAACATGCTGTTTAAATTAGTCTGGGGTGTGGCTCTGATGACCCTGTTCCCAACGGCCCTTGAGTGACTCTGACCAGGAGGAAGGATTGATCACTTCTGCACAAGGCAACTCAGTGTTCTCAGCCTCAACCAGCTAAAACTCATCCAGGGAACTATACTGAGATTTCTAATGGGATAGAGGGTTCAGATTTAATTGTCTACAGTGAGGGCTGGAGCAAATGGAATTTAAAATTTTTGAATTAAAGAATTAAGTTGAGAGTTGGAGAGAGAAAGAGCTTAGTTCATAAGGGATTTGTTGTGCAAGCATGAGAGTCTGGGTTTGGTACCCAGAACCTACAAACAAAGTCAATTGTGGTATCGTCTACTTGTAATCCCAGGCCTGGAGAGCTGGACAAATATGGATACCTGGGGCTAGCCAAAATTAGACTACTTGGGAAGAGTGGCCAGTGAGAGAAAAACAAAGTTGATACAGTTCCTGATAAAGACCAAAGGCCTACACACATACACACACACACACACACACACACACACACACACACACACACTCATACACACTCACATGCATGTGCATGCGCGCACACACAGAGTTTTTAAAGTATGCTCTTGATTTACAGTCACTCTTAGAGAAATCTGTCAGCAGCAGCCTTCTGTTTGTTACATGAGATGCAGTTCCCTCTGGGCATGCAGCCCTTTCCCTCCCATACCTGTCACTCCCTAGCTCCACTGACTAGCCCTGGCAAAATGATTTCCAGAGTATTGTTCCTGGACCATCATTGGCAGGCTGGCCAGGGTCCATTAAAATGCCAGTTCCCAGACCCAAACCAGTTGTATGAATCATAAGCTGGGGATAGGACCTACAATCTGAGGGGTCACAAGCACTCCAGGGGATTCTGTGCATCAGAAGGCTGAGAGCTATGATGTCGAATCATATATGTCTCCATTGCTCAGGAGAGACACCATGTGCATCCAGTGCATAGCCAGCTGTGGAGTGGACAGTTTCTTCAGTTAGCGACTAGTGTCTAGTCTGACCATGCTCTTCTGCCATCTGAGGCCCGTCAGCAGTGACTCACTATTGTCCTGAGGCAGGTCCCCAGATACCAGTACAGCTTCGAGCCATGGCTGCTGGATTAGGAATGCTGCTGCTGGGGTGTGGGAGCGACCGCTGTTTTCAGTTGCTGCTGTAGGCCACGGCTGAGCATTCTGCAAACATCAAATCATTTCACTCTCAGCCCTATGGCTACATGTGTAATCATCCCTGTTTCCCTATGAGCAAACTGAGGCACAGAGACCCCGTGCCACAGTTTACCAAGTGGATTTAAGTCAAGGCAGCCGAGAGCCATGTCATAAACCACTATCATCTATGGCCTTTCCTGTGTGGGGAAAATCAAATATGGAAATACACAGCCTGGTACTCCCTGGTGCTAGTGGACAGTTGTGAACATCTGCTCTTCCTCCCACAGACCTGGCACACTGCCACGCCTATCTGCTGGAAATGAGCCAGCTCTTACAAAGCATGGACGTCCTACACCGGACATACTCAGCGCCAGCCATCAATGCCATCCAGGTTGGCTTACCCATTCTTCTGTTCACCTTCTGCCTTCTACTTCCTCTCCTGTCCCCTGCATTTAACTAACAGTGGGATGTTGTCCATCCGGTTGCTTTAGCCAAACTCAAGGGGATGGCTTTGGTCGCTTCCCTGTGCATTTGTCCCTGCAGTTTTGGTGGACCTTACTGTCTGTACTCTCTTTCCTGTTTTGAAATGAAGGGTGGAGCTTTTGAAAGTCCCAAAAAGGAAAAGCGATCACACAGGAGGTGGCGGTCCAGAGCTATTGGCAAAGATGCTAAAGGAACCCTGCAGGTAACCTTTGCTTCTCCACCAGGCTTGCTTTCCTCACGGTGCCACACTGAACACCATGTACAGGGGCTCCTGATTCAAATAGGACAGAAAAGTGGAAGTTCTGGAGTTGATCTCTGTCCCCTGTCAGGAGAGTCAACTCCTGTTACTAAGACCCTCTGGTTACAGGAATAAGGCCGTGAGGACACTAAGGCAGGAGAAATTTTCCTGGGGACCAATGTCTTGGCATTGGAGGGACTGCCCCTGTCATGAGGATTTGGGGTCTTTCCTTCTTTAACATCTTAGCTTGTCTATGATACTCCTTGCTCTAGTGTGTGCCTTGCCTGGTGGCTGCTGTGGCCCAATACTCTGACCTACTTGTGTTGCTGTCATCTCTCAGAGTGGACCTACCTTCTCTTAGAGTCCACAGGCCTGAGCCTCTGTCCTGCAGGCCCTTTGCCACTTTTCTTCAAACTCTCAGCGCCCCCTCTAGGGCCAAACTTAGATGCTTTCAGAGCAAAGAACATTATGCGTGCAAATGTGAGCCGAGGGTTTGTTTTCTAGACGCTCCAGGTGCAAGCAAAGAAAACAATCCAGGAACTGATTTTCTCTGACAGCCTGGTTATGTAGTGACATTCACTGTCATTGCAGCCCATGACTCTAAAGCTCTCATAATCTCTGAGACAGCATGTGATTTCCTGCCCAATTGTAGTTTATAGGATACAGGGGCCATGAAAAGCATCTTCCCAGGTTTTCATTAATTTTTCTTCGAAGTTATCCCTCGGTGGCAAGATGCACCTCTAAGATGCCCCCTTAATCAGTTCCAGTCATGGAGGCTCTGCTGTGAACTTCTCCCTTTGTGGTCTCTTTAGGTCCCTAAACCTTTTGCTGGCCCAGTGAGACTACACTCTTCTAATCCTAATTTGTCAACACTGGACCTTGGCGAAGAGAAGTGTTACTCAGATGGTTCTGAAGCCTCATCCGAGTTCTCCAAGATGCAGGAAGACCTGTGCCATGTTGCCCACAAAGGTAAATGAGATCTCCTTCTTCCTAAAGTACTTGATGGAACTGTCTGTCAACACCAAACTATAGCTATCATCTTTAAGAGAATAATAGTTTATTCTGGAGTCAATTTTGAGTGATCATGGCCCAGGAACACATATCTAGGTTACCCCAAATTCCCTCTTCCGGAGTGGAAGCAGTTTATGAAGTTTTATAGAACAAGAAAGTCATAAATCAAGGCAAGTTTAAAATACATTGGGGGATGCACCAGAGCGGTGGTATCAGAGAGAGATTTTTTCCATAGGCCCAGGATGCTTTCTGATGGCATTCCTAGCTTGTGGGTTGGTAGAAAAGTGTGGTTTTTTAAGTTGATTAATTCTGAATTCTAAAAGTTTTTTTGTATGTTTGCTTGTTGTTTTTTAATCTGTTAGTAACAAGATGTTAGTTCTGACACAAAGGTTGGCAAAGACATGTCCGAGAGGGCGAGAATTACCCTAAGATAGGAGACTTTGCCTCCAGGCCTGCATCATTCCAGTCTCTGTATGACTCTGCAGTTCTAACCAGTCAGCCCGTCTCTGCAGGTACAGCTTCCTCCTGGGATTTCTCGTTCACATGTCCAGTGCATGACTGGGGCATCCTTACAGAAACTGTCTCAGTTGGTTCGTGTTCTGCTCCAATAAGGTGTTCATAGCCTCCTTTTTACTTATCCCTTTGGTAGTGTAGATGTTGCTGCCAAGATTTTCTTTATGATCTCTCGGAAGAGACAGTGAGGGTCTGGGATCTAGATGACAGGACTCAAGGATTCAACCAACTGAAGGCTGAAAGTGTTTCTAAAGGTTGCATCTATTTTGAGCACAGGCATTTGTCATTGTCATTGCCCCCTAAACAAAACAGGACAGCAGCTGTGTGCCAGGTCTCACATGTACAGGTGCTTAAGTATCTAAAGATGCCTTAGCATGTATTAGAGACTATGACATGGCGGGTCTACGGTACTTTACAATTGGAGCGTTCATATGCTGGTGTAGATTATCAGTTGGTTACTTTGGGGATTAATGTAGCATTTATTCCACCTGTTTACAACCCTGACTAACAGTTCCTCTTGGAAGAATCCATTTATAGGAATTACTAAAAATGTATCTATGTAAAGATACCTACTGCAGCATTAGTCCTCCTATCAACACATAGAAATATGTGTTTGATGTTGTTAGCCATGACAGAAAGATCAGGGGTGCTGCACAGAGGCCTCCCTGTCCACTGTTTGAAGGGACTCTTTTAATGGAGTCATGATTCTTAGGGACAGGTTCTCTCATCCATGACTGGTGGCCATGGAAGATGGTGCTGCATTCTGGAAAGTGGCCTAACACTAAATGCATGCCTTCATTAAAACCCAACACCAGTGCTCCCAAGCATTTAACCCAAAGAAGTGAAGACAGTTATGGGGACAACTATGCACAGATGTTTAGGGACATCTGTGCTGTGCCTCAGTGGTAGAACCTGCATGTTAGCACCATAGTACCAAAATATTACTAGCAGATTTATTTGTATTGGCCAAATCCTAGAAACAACTCAAGTTCTTCAATAGAAGAACAGTTAAATACATGGTGGTATTCATGCAATGGAATACTACTCAGCAATAAACTGGAACAAACCATTAATATATATATATATATATATATATATATATATATATAGAGAGAGAGAGAGAGAGAGAGAGAGAGAGAGAGAGAGAGAGAGAGTGTGTGTTCAAGGACATTAGCAGAATGAAAACAACTGATTTCTAAAGTTTACAACCTCTATGGCTTCACTTTGTAAATGGTATAAAATGAAAGATGAAATTAGTAGATTTCAGAGTTTAGGGACAGTTTGGGGGGATGAGGAGTTTGGATGTGATTATAAAGGGACCTTTGTGCTGATGGGCAGTTTTGCATTCTGCTTGAGGCAGTAGTTATAGGAATTTGCCAATGTGACCAGATCACATTGACCTATAACCATAACATATGTAAAACTGAGTGCATGTAAGTGAAGAAATCTGAGCACACTCCATTACCCTAACATCTCTGTCCTGGGTTTATACTGTTAGTGAGTAGAATGTTACCATGGGGAGGAACTGGGCACAGGGCACTTCTGTACTGCTTGTCAATTCCTTCCTGTCCATAACAATCTCAAAGTAAGAACTACAAATAACCATGACTGGGGTTGTGTATGGTTCAGTGGGTAGAGTGTCTATTTAGAAATAACTCAAGTGTCTGACAAGAGGGGATTGTACTTTTTAATATAATGTGATCACATAGTGGGTTATTTAGCATAGTAATAGCGTCTCACACCGAGCACCAAGGTGTTGTGTCAGGTGTTTGCTGAATGTTTTAGATGCAACATTTCATTCCGTTCTAGCAGAAACTTGGGTAGGGAATGAAGTCTTCACTACCTGCATGAAAACCAGAGCCTAGCAAAGCTACCCAAGGGTCACATGACAACAAGCCCGAGGCTGAATTACAGCCTGGTCCAGGCCAGGATGTACTCCTTGTCTATCCATAAGGATAGGAGGTCAAATGTTTAAAAAAAAAAAACAACCCAAAATGTAATAAGGTTACGAAACAGTATATAGGTAGAATGTCATTTTTTAGAAATAATAAATATGTTCCTGGCTTATGTGAGTTTACTAAAATATCTAGGATGTGCAGAGCGTTATTTTAGTGGCAGAAACTGAAGTTCTGAGTGTTGCTAGCTCCCCTCTGCCAATGTTTCTTTTCAGCATTCATTTATTATTATTATTGTTAAAGAGAAGATGGATTAGAGCATTTCAAGGGGCATTCCCACTAGTGCCTTCCTCTCTGTGCTCCAGACTTTTCTTCCTCTTATTATTATTGATTCCTGCAGAGAATATTCCCTGCTTCATATCTGTACTCTTTCTGTCTCTCACCTGACGAATCTAAAATCCATTTGCTTTATGAGTTGGGTTATAGGGCAGCCGCATCATGCTTGTGACAGCCTCCTCCCTCAGACTCCTTTGCTGGCCACCATGTGCATCTCTGTAACATGCTGTCCCATGTCTATGAGAGCTGAGGTGTTGCCTGGCTGGTCCTTCCCAGCTCTCCAAGTGCCTCATGGGCATTCTTTAGAAGGTCCTTGCAATGAGGACGACATTTTAGGATTTGTGGGAGGAGGTGTCTTTAAACCATCATTACCTTTTAATAACATGAACTGCCTATTTAAACCTGAGGAGACAGTGCCCTTCTCCCATGGGGAGATGTCTAGGTCTTACCTACACTGTTGAAACGGCTTGTCAGCCAGTTAGAGGTTGCCATCCACCCTGAGTGTACCCATTGATCCTGGCTTCCTGCAGTGGTCTCCCTGTCTGTAATCTCCCCCACGCCAGCTGTGCTGTGGGGTCTTTGTGAAACCAGCAGGCGGTAGAGTTGCCACTTACATCACTGAGGTCAAGGTTTGTGCTCTGGGAACAGGCCAGGTGTACTGTTCAGCCACAGCCAGAGTCCCTTGGGTTTATAGGAGCCTAGCCAGCTCTTCTCCCTTCCCATGGCTTTCAGTTCTACTTGCATTTATTCAGTCCCCTCTCACCTCTCCTGCACCACTAGAGGGGCCTCACGGAACAAAGACCACACACAGATTTGCCCTGAGTCCTAGCGCCTTGTGGCCTTTCATTTATCTGTCCATTCAGACTCAGCTATGGTGGCCTTTCTCCCTATGTGAGTCTTGATTGGTTACAGATACTGTCTGTTGTCCTTTGACTGCATCAGGGGTCTCTGGACTGTTACTTTGTAGCAGCTGAACTAAAGTCAAGAATTCTGTGGATGTCATGTAATGTACCATTCAACATGGCACAAACATCTGAGTTAGGCTTTTGTAGATCACGTGATAGGCAGCCAGCAGATACCCATCCCAGATGTAAAAGTTCTTCTGTACACTCATTTTTAGGCATTCATTGAGATCTTCCTCGTGGTTCATGTTTCTGGCTTTCTACATATCAACACACATATAAGGAAGTGGAATGAATATCCTTAAAGTCACAATTTTTGTTGCATATATTAGCTTTTACATTTCTCAAAAATGTATTTTATGGGATTCTTAATTCACAAGATGGGCTAAAAAGTCAAAACCAATTTTGTGCTTAAAAACACTGGAAAATGCTGCTGACTGTGGCTGTTTTGGTTTTACATGTGGAACTTTAGGTGGGAAAATCTCTGAAAAGGCCTGAAGCAAGGAAACTGTCAGCTTTGTTAAGCTTTGATTTTCAGTGTTATTTGTGAAATTCCCCCATTGGTCCATTGCTGGGAGCATGGCAGCAGACAAGCAGGCCTGGCACTGGACCAGTAGCTGAGAGCTTAACATCTTATCCACCATCACCCAGCACAGAGCCTACTTAGCAGCCCTCAGTGATAGGCCACACCCCCTCAACAAGGCCACGCCTCCTAATCTTACCGATCAGAAAGTATTTTACGGCTATGGGCACCATGCAAGAGTTGAAACTTAAAAGAGGCAGATTAAAGATCACCAAATCATCCCCAAGAGTTTAGGAATGTTACTCTTTCGAAGGTTCCCATTAAAAGAAAGAAGGGCTGGAGAGATGGCTCACTCCGTGGTAAAGTGCATTTCCTGCTCAAGCACAAGGACCATGTTCAGATCCCAGGACCACATAGACCTGGGCTTGATAACCACATAGATGCTGGGCGTGATCTCAAGTAACCCCAGCACAGAGGTGGACAGAGACAGGAGGCTCTCTGAGCTTGCTGACTTCCAACCTAGTGGGAAAGTTCCCAGCAGAGAAAACAAAACCTCAGAGTCCAGATCCGTTGAGAGACCCTGCCCTTGCACCTCCTCAAAAAAAAAAAAAAAAAAGCAGAAAAGAATGCTTCTTTGAACATGCATGTTCTCTCTCTCTCTCTCTCTCTCTCTCTCTCTAACACACACACACACACACACACACACACACACGCAAGAATGAAAGGAAGGAGAAATGGAATCCTACTGTTTTGGGTCCTGTGTGTTCTCAAGTGCTTTCTCATTGTTTCCTTAAAGCTCTCTAGATACCAGAGTTCCCCACATACTCAGTCCATTTAGGTTTGGAAATGGATGATTCCTCCAAAGTCTAAACCATAGCAAGGCATCAGAAACTGAATTGAATTCACATTTGCCTTACTACCCATGGTCTTCCCTCTGTACCACACGTTGCGGTGCTGTTGATAAGTGTGGTCTCTCCTGAAGTGAAGAAACTGCTAAGGAGGGCGCATGGGCAGAGGAGACTCCAGCTCATGATCCATGTACGGCTTCCCAGTCCAAAGCTCTCAGGGCCTCTTCAACCTAATGTGGCAATGGGAACCTGAAGCAAAAGCAAAGGAAGGGCCAAGAGTCAAATGAGCAAAACCTACTGTGTCTGTTCTGCAGCTGGAGCTGAAGGGTTCAGACAGTCAAAAGCTTCTTCTCCAGGTCAGGTATGGATAGCTACCTGGGATCCCAGGACTCAGGAAGATGAGGCAGGAGGACTGTGGGCTTCAGACCAGGCCAACCTGGCAAGATCCTGAATCCCTCTCTCCAAAAGAGCCCAATCTGTGTCCCACTGTCATAGTCCAGCAGGGCTCAGGACAGGGCGAGGAAGAGACTTTAAAGCAGATTCTGTGACTACCTTCTGATATTTGACTTCCCATGAAGGCAAGCAGCTGTGTTGGACAGTGTAAAGAGACTGGGGCAAGCATTGCATAGCCACAGCAGGTCTCAGAGCACTGTGACTGCAGATGGGGCTTGGTTAGCATGGACTAAAGACCATTTGGCAAGTGTTTGAGGCCTGGAGAGGGTGGGCCATGCTCTGGGGTGGGTGGCTTGGATGATTTTTGAGGTTCTCTGTGGCTCTGTGTATCTTGACTCCTTTGTTTATGATAATGTATCCACAGGTACAATACACTCACTTAGAAATCTTTTTTTAAGCTTTTTATTCTCTAGTAAATTTAGGATGACATTAGAAATAAGTAAAAACACACTCCTGACGTAGGAAATTCCTCTAAACTTTGTGAGCCAAGGTCACTGTCTTAGTCACGGTTTCTACTGCTGCAATGAAACACCATGACCAAAAAGGGAGTTGGGGAGGAAAGGGTTTATTTAGCTTACACTTCCACAGCACTGTTCATCACTGAAGGAAGTCAGGACAGGAACTCAAACAGGGCAGGATCCTGGAGGCAGGAGCTGATGCAGAGGCCATGGAGGGTGCTGCATACTGGCTTGCTCACCCTGGCTTGCTCAACCTGCTTTCTTATAGAACCTAGGATTACCAACCCTGGGGTGGCCCCACCCACAATGGGCTGGGCCCTCTCCCATTAATAACTAATTAAGAAAATGGCTTACAGCCAGAGGCATTTCCTCAGTTGAGGTTCCCTACTTTCAAATAGCTCTGGTTTGTGTGAAGTTGATGTAGACTAGCCAGCACAGCCTCCCACGATGTAATTATGATCTCCTGACATCTAGTCACTGCTCTGGGAATGACTTATAAGTTGGCCAAGAGTGACCACTTTAATATCTTCTGGGTGGGTCTAGGGCTATTTCAGAAATTCAACCAAGTGTGGTAGGACACACTGGTAATCTCTACATTTGAGAGCCTGCGTCTGGAGGAAGACACATTTGAGGCCAACTTGGGCTATATGGTGAGAACCTGAGAACCTGTTTCAAAACACACACACACACACACACACACACACACACACACACACACACAGATACACACACACATTTAGTTATCACGTATGCATTTAGGGGATCTGGTTTTCTAATCCTTTTTTCAGGTGATTGAGGCAGAGTTTTTTTTATATCTGACAATGAAATATGACTGTATGGGTTTCTTTTTGTTTATTTATGCTCACTGTAGTCTTAGATATATATTCTTTTTCCTGAAGATAAGGGAGCTGGCAACTGAACCTAGAGCTTTGCTCTTGCTGGCCAAGCACTCTCCGTGAGCTCTATTGTTAGCCTTCCTAGCTGCACACTATGAAACAGATAGTGCCCATTCTGTCCTTTAAAAAGCATAAACAGGAACTGTCTAGTCTGGTGGAAAGTCTCTCCTGGCAGCAGGGCATCTGGAAGGCAGAACAGTTGAGCTGGGAAAGCAGAGCCAGCCAGGTGCATGCTCATGGTATTTGTAGGAATAAATGTGTCCATGGAAAGGAAGACTCTTCAGAGACCCACTAGGACAGTATCCTGGGGGCCTGAGGGCAGATGTCTAACCAGGCATAAAATGCAGTGAGGAACCTGTGTGGCCTGTTATCCTCCTCCCAAGGCTGCTACTCTTTGGCTCAGCGAGCTCTGGTCAGTCCTCATTCATATACTCTCTGCTGTATGTGCATTTATTGATAATCACCATCCTGATAGAGCTAAGTATCACACTACTCCTGCTGCCCAGATTCCAAGAGAGTGTAGGTACCACTTTCACTCTCATGCATCTTTTTCATCATCATGACCATTATCCTTTGGTAACATCCATTATGCATTGCATTTGTGCATTAGATTAAGGACTTTGTATGCATTGTCCTACTTAATCCTTATTACAGGCTATAGAGTAAATGCTAGCAGGCTTCAGGCTTCATTTAGGCTTCAGGCTCATCAGATACTTTTCCAAGGTTATAGAATGAATAAGTAATGGGCCCCTACCCTCTGGTCTTAGAAGCAGCACCATAGCTTATAAGTTTGTGTGTGTGTGTGTGTGTGTGTGTGTGTGCTCTCTCTCTCTCTCTCTCTCTCTCTCTCTCTCTCTCTCTCTGTGTGTGTGTGTGTGAGAGAGAGAGAGAGAGAGAGAGAGAGAGAGAGAGAGAGAATTGCTTGTTTGCATTAGGAAATTATGAGGAATCTCTGGATCTGTCACTAAGTGCTCCAGACAGCCAGCAACAGCATATAGAGACAATGGGCAGTCTTCCTTCTCACTGGTAAATGAAGGGAACAAGTCGGTAGTAGGTATTTAGTTTCTGTTATTGAATAGGCCATTCTTGGATAACAATACCTCTGAAAATGCAAGCCTGTGAAATTTAATAAAATACCAGGTCACTGGAGAAGCCTGTCACAATCCCTTCCTTCTTGCCCTTCTGTGACAAACTATAATGGAAGAGAATGGAAAGATAATATCTAGTGTGGTCTCTATGATCCCATAACCTTAGGAAGTTTCTTCACCCTATGTGATCACAACCCAATAGATATTTGTCATACCCATTCCTGTGTTTCTCTCTCTCTCTCTCTCTCTCTCTCTCTCTCTCTCTCTCTCTCTCTCTCTCTGTGTGTGTGTGTGTGGGGGGGGTGTATGTACATGCCGGTGTAAGTGTGCATGTTTGTGTGTATGAGTTTGTGTGCATGCCACAGCTCCCCTTGGGGGAGGGGGAGAGGACAACCTTGGTGTCAGTCCTCACTTCTGTTTGAGAAGGTTTCTTTGTTGAGTCCTGCTGTCGGCCAGTCTATCCAAGCTTCCAGAGATACTCCTATTCCCAGCTCCCATCTCACTGTTGGAGCATGGGGATTGAAGAGTACAGGGCTACATAGATTTCCATGAGTTCTGGGGACTCGAACTCAGGTCCTCATGCTTGCATGACAAGCACTTTGCCCACTGAACCATCCCTACAACTCATTTTGAAAGCTCTAGTTTGGGCATTTAAGAGATTGCTGGTTCTAGGTTCTCACTGAACCTGAAAGCTCCCTAAAGTGAGCAGAGTGTCCGAATGCCAAAATCAGAGGTTAGGGTTCTAGTGCAGCCGGAGAAACTAGGAAGAGATAAGGGCGACACATCATTTAAGATCATTTTGACCTTACAGAAATGCTACAAGAGGAGAACAAAGAACTCCCAGAAACCCTGCATAGTTTTTTTTTTTCTTTCACTTTACTACAGTTATTTCTTGGCAGTTCTTTCTACATACATGCTTTTATTTTCTGAAATTTTCGAGAATAGGATTCCTGTATCATTATGCATTCTTCGAGGCTTTATACTTTATATACTCAGCAATGGTAGTTTTCTAACTCAGGACATGTCACTGGGAAATGACACTTCGGTCTCCCATTCACGATGTCAACTGTGGAAAATGTCTTTTAGTGTTGTTCTCCTTTGGGTACAGGATCGGCCCCATGGGTACACACTGTGATTCATTGTCTTGACTTTTTAGCACAGTTTAATTGGGGCCAGTTTTTTATAAAGTTGATACCTTGTTGCCTTTGAAGAGTTCAAGCCAGTTTTTAAAAACAGGATGTTCAGTTGTCTGTGTTTCCCTCATGATCAATTCCAGATTGCTTATCCCGGACTGGCCTTTAACATAGTGTGACTTTTCCAAGGCATTGTAGATAGAGGTACCCAGTGTTTGCCTGCCTCGCACTGCTAGTTGATTTTTACCACCTGGTTGAGTTATGGTCTCATTTTTCTAATGTAGTGATAGAATTCACTTATAGCCAGCAAGCCTTGTTCTTAATTGTCCGTAGCCTTTAAGGACATACAACTGAATACTGCTGGTTTTCAACCTCTACATCCTAAAATCATGGAATGCCTTAGCAGGCACAAGCCTTGGGATTGACAAGTGTATGTAAATGCTAATAGATTATATTTTCCCAAGGAGTTTTTAAGTCCACAGCAAAATTGAGCCACACAATTTCCCTGTGTGTCCCTTGCCACCTACATAGGCCTCTCCCACTCTGAGCATCCCACACAGGGTTAGGAAAGGTAGCCTTCAAGAACCCGTGTTGTTACGTGTTGTCACTGGAGCCTGTAGTTTCCATTAGGGTTTGCTCCCACACAGTCAATGTGTTTTTAAAAATCCACGTAGAAGGTGTATTTACTGAACTCGGGATACTTTGCTAAAATCTTGTGTAAGGAATACACTTTTTTTTGGGCTGGAGAGATGGCTCAGATGTTAAAGGCTAGGCTCACAACCAAAAATATAAGAAGTACACTTTTCTGTATGTTCTTTTTAATTGTGCCTCTTCCTTGTTCCTTCTTGTAATGATTCTATCTTTGTAGTTTACTTCGCTTTAAGGTCAGCTTTTAATAGCATATCGGCGGAGAGAGAGAAGCTGAAGCAGCTGATGGAGCTGGAGGTCTCCTCTTCTCCTTCTGCTCAGGTCGTCGGTCTGAAGCATGCCCTGTCATCTGTAAGTTGTGTGTCTTTGTTTCATAAATGTCTGCAAATGTGGCCAGCCTTGTGAATTACTAAGACCTTCCATTTCCATGGCTGCATTGAAAATTGATGATTTTCATGATTGAGTTGAATCTCAAGGAGAAAAACCAAACAAATTTTCCAAATTATACTCAAACCTTTCTTCAGACTTGTGCATTCAAAATAATCCCAAACCGTAGTAGGTAGGATTTTCCTAAATGTTCCATTCTCTGAGTTTGATTTTTTTTTTTAAATTTACCTGAATTTTTCAGTTTCTATCAAACTTTTAGTGTATGTTTGTGTGGGAGTCTTACAGACATTTTTTGGCTAATGCTTACACAGTTTGACATTTGGGAGATTTTGTGGCTCTGGGGCATCGTAAGTTTAGTTCAACTTAACAAATAGCACGTGGCAGCGAGAAATTTCCAATATACACGTTTTCCGTCTCCACGGCAAGGTGCTGATCCTACTTAATGCTCTTCCAAATATGTGAAGGATATTTTATTTGAATAAATAATACAAAACCTTCAGCTTTTCCTCCCGTGGACTCAGAGAGATGAGTCATGAAGTGACTGTCAGGCGGTCATTGCATCTTCAAACAGAAAAACCACTGTCATGGCCTCAGATGAGTTTCAACAGCCACGGCCGCTCGTGGTTATTCTCTCTGCTTCACTCCCTTGCTCAGAATGGCTGGGCTCCATTGATATGCCGTGTCCTCTGCTACCTGGGTAGCTGCAGGTGCCTGGCACTTTAACCTTGACCTCTGTCAAGAAGCCAGAGAACCTTTGGAACAGCATACATATTTTCTCTTTTCTCTTGTACTTGGGAATTTCTGCTTTAAGAAGAGGAAGAAAGCATACACACAAGGAATTACCGTCTCAAGCGCCACTGACTTGCATTTTGGGTCAGGTGGGAGTGATGAATTTTAGGATCATGTGACCAGAACCCAACATAAGGACTGAGGAGGAAAAAGTCCATTCATGGTTTCTGTTTGTCATGCTACTGAGAAAAGTAGTGCTATCAGTGTACTGTTAACTAGTGTTACAACATAACGTTAACCACGGCCCCTTGACGAGGAGCACACACTGCTTGTTGTAGATGTTGCAGATACTTTCAGTGGCAGTTCCAACTACCCTATCTTTTGTTTTGTTTTATTTTGAGACAGGATCTCATCTAGCCCAGCTTAGATCTCATGTAGCCATGTGGTTCTGCTTCGGCCTCCCATGTGCTTAAATTATAGTCATGTGCCCAATTATGCTATTTTTGAATGACAAATTTAAAAAAAATATTGGCTCACTCCATATGTAGAGTCTCCATTTATAAACTTTATTTATTTGTTTGTTTATTTTTGGGTTTTTGAAATATGGTTTCTTTGTATAACATCCCTGGCTATCATGGAACTCACTCTGTAGTCCAAGCTAGCCATGAACTTATAGATATCTACCTGTCCATGCCTTCTGAGTGCTGGAATTAAAGGCATGCGCCACCATGCCTGGCTTTCCAGTCCCTTTCTTAAGGTCGGAGAGAAAGAGAGATCTTTTGGACCTGGGGGAAAAGCTGGCACAGCCGGGTTGGTCTTTGTTTCTTCCACTCTTCCTTTGATTTATTCCTCGCTGTCTACACATTCTCACCGTTCCTGTCTGAATGGTTTCTTTCTTGATGCCTTTAGAAGGTCCCTCTGACATAAGGGGGGTCTCTAAAGTTCCTTCCTGTGGTCCTCCTCTCCCTTATTCCCACAAAGGTCCAGCCGTCTGCTAATCTGCTTGGCTACACTCATTGGGCTACATTTTCCAGGCCAGATTTGCACCCATACCCACATTAAACAGTTTAGAAATAAGATAAAACAAAGTGATCCATTCTTTCCTTTCTGGCTTAGATTTCTGGTTTAGTCCAAGACCTGTTTCTTCAAAATATTTCTTTTTTGAATAATCACGAAACTATTACAATGGATATATGAATATCCAGGTACTGAATTTGGTATTTCTAGGCTTTGCTAAGATTCTAGCCACTGTAACAGTGATGTGTTGTCTCGAAGGGATTAATATATGTGGTTACATGACCCTAGTTCTTGTTTAGAGTTTCTTAAATGATACAAGGATCCTTAAAATAACCTATGTCCTCTGTGGCCACTGAAAAGTAAAACTAGAGCCAGACATGGTGACCTTGTAATTCCAGCTCCTGGGAGGCTGAGACAAGTGTTAAGAGTCCAGCCTCGGCTACAGAGTGAGATCATGTCCTGTACATTCAATAGTGATGATAAGAAAAGAAATGAATGAAGCCCTTGTAGAGATCCAGACAGTAGACCCACCCCCACCCCTGCCATAGACGTATAGCATAATGCACAGCAAAGGAAGTGTACATTTTCCTCTTCCTGTGAGCCAGGCCTGGCAGAGAGGATGAGATGGGAGGTGAGACAGCCCAGGAGGAAATAGAGGTCTTAGGTGGTTTCTTTTACATCCATGGCTCACACTCAGCACTATGGTGTATAGGTAAAGTTGCTTGTTCATTTTTATGGAAAAGTAAATGGTCTAATTCTCAAAAGTGAGCAAGTCACCAGCGTACTTCTAAGGTCCAGTGCAGCTGCTGTGATAATTAACGCACACTGAGCCATGTCCACTGGCATCTTGTTAAAGGGCAGGTGGATCTGGGACTCACTAGGTTTGGTGGGGTCAGGGGGCTGGTCCACAGATCAGCGTGTCAGGAAGAAAAGATACTGACTGATATTGTCTATGGCTTCCTTCTGCAGCTGCACTAACCCTCTTTGCATCTCTGAAGATGAGATTAACCAGCATGGACCCATCTGTTACCTCCCAGCCTCCTGTTGGAGAGCAGTGGGGAAAGCCCAGACACACCCCGAGCCAGGGTGTCCTGCCTGGGGGAATCCTCACTCCTAGATTTGCTTGTGCCCACTCCCCTGCTGCGCTTTCCTGAGCCGCCCACTTACTAATAAAGCCCTGCTATTTTTAACATATTCCAGGCCCTAGCACAAAACACAGATCTTAAAGAACGCTTACGCAGAATCCATGCAGAAACCCTGCTCCTCGACCCTCCCGCTGTTCCCAAGTCGGGGGACAACCTGGCAGAGGTGGGTAGGTTTCTCGTCTGGTAACTATTCTCTGCAACTGCCACCTGTCACCAGCAGCCTCTACCCAGCTGCATAGCTCTCGGCTTCACTCTGGCTGAGTTCTTGGGCTTCAAAATCTTGCTGGCACGATGTCACCCCGCACACTCTTCAGTCACCTCTTCAGTGAGTCCTCTGTTTGTGTCTGTACCTCATTCCCTCTAAGCGCCATTCCTTTCACTATGTGTATTACCTGAGTGTGAGCTACAGAAAGACAAGTGCTTATCCTTGTCATTTCTGAAGAAACCTCAGTCTCTGTGACCCACTGACCAGTTCCTTGCAGGCTTCGTGTGCTCCACTGAAGCCATGATAATCTTCACCATAACTGCCCCTTCTTCCTTCTTCCTGTTTTATTTTTTCCTCTTTTAGATCACAGCTCTATCATCTACGGGGCTGCACTACAATCAAAATCTGTTGTCAGTTAACACACATGGGAAAGATGCAGTACAGTTTAGCAGTTTAGTGATCATTTGCCTCTTGAACCCTAGTTCAACCCATAGACCCCTGGTGCGCGCGCGCGCGCGCGCACACACACACACACACACACACACACACACACACACACACACACACACACACGCATGCACACATGCACGCACACATGCACACGCACGCACCGAAGTCTTTTTCAAGACTTGGGATTTTTGCCCCAAATGGTCCTTTGAATGTGTTTAAAATAAGCAATTTCAGAAAAATATAGTGTGATCCTCGAGGAATAAGAATGGGTAGTAAAGGTGACAGCTGTTTATAAATGTCTTGGGTATTCAGATGTCTACCTCAGATGTGTAAAATTTCCCACTAACAAACAGGTTAGATTTAAAATGAAAAACAAGGAAGCAGGCTGGGGAGGTAATGCTGTCAATAAAATACTGAGGACCCTCCTAAGAACCTACGTAAAAAATGCAGGTGTGATGGCTCATTCTCGTGATCCTAAGACAGGGAAGTAGAGACAGCTGGGTGACTCAGGCCCTCTGCCAGCCAGCCCATCCTACATGGTGAGTTTCAGGCAGTTGAGACACTGTCCCTTCCCTTCAACAAAGGTGGGCACAGGGCCACCGAAATGGATCAGTGGGTTAAGGCTTTTTCCTCAAAGACCAGAAACCTGAGTTGGATCACTGGACCCCAAAAGGAGAGAACCAGTTTCTCAAAGGGGTCCTCTGCCTCCACATATAATTTATAAAAGAAGAAAAAGGTGGACAGAACCCCAGCTGAGGATGGAGAGAGTTGAGGCCAAGACACCCAGGTCATCTGCCCTACTTGCAGCACAGACATGCTAACAGGACCACTGCACCAGGCCAGAGCCTCACCCGCATGGTGGTAGCCGAGGATAAAATTCCTCTGCAGAGACAAGCCCTGCACCCTCCCCCAGGGCCTTGGCACTTTAGGCTTGAGCCTATAACCAGCCAGGCCCTTTCAAGTGTGCACATTAGCTGACACAGGACCCAGTCTTTGCCATGTCTGGTCATCACTGAGTGTCTCTTGCTGCCAGACACCATGGCATCTCCAATCGAACATTGATTTCCAAGCCACTCTTACCTTTTGTAATACATATTATTATCACATGAATTATAGTTACATGTTCTATGATTAAATAGATAACCTTTGCCAAGCATTTATGAGTCTGTGCCCAGTGTCCACTGTGTATTACTCAAGCTGTTTGTGTTTTGAGATAAAACCCAAAGCCCATGTCTAGAAAAATGCACATTTTGGGAACAATTTCAAAAAGGCATAACCAGAAAGCTGAAACACTCGGAACTGTTCAGGAGAGTGCTACCACAGCCTTCCACAGCATTCAGGTTGGTTATGTGCTTGTCTCATTAATTTCCTCTTTCAGAGAGTTTCTGTTTCCCATGGTTTATCTCCTCCCCCCCCCC